TCAGTCTGTACGCTGACACCATCACCTGTCAGTCAGGAAGTGGGTAATATTTCCTTAAGAGTCCCCTGGACACTTGGCTAGTCATTTTATTTTTCTTATATACTTCAAAGATGCTTTTGCTCACAATGCTACTGTTTAAAAGAAAAATACCTCCTGGTTCTGTTTACTTCACTAAGTATTGTTTCATAAAAATCTTCCTGCTCTCTGAAACTACTTACTTCAGTGCTTAGAACACAACATTACTCCATTAATTTCATGTACCTTAATTTCTTCAGGAACCATACAGATGTTGGTAATATCCATATATACCAGTTCTACTCCACCCACCTCCCAAACACTCAAAAAGAATGCCAGTAAAAATATGCATGGGGCTTTTCCTCTTTTTCTTTTTAATCTCAAGGGCCTATAGACTTAGTGCTGGCATTTCTAGATAAAAGAGAATACACAATTTAGTAAGTTTTGGGGCAAAGTTCCAAATTACTGTTTAGAATGGCTGGACAAATTCACAGCTTCATAAATAGTACATTAATATTTCTTTATTGCTATATATAGCTCCTGAAATATTTTCAATTTTCTATTTTACCAACTTTGCATTATGGTAGGTTTGAGGGAACACATAACAGAAATTTAGTAAGTGTTTATTGATTAAATTATGAAAGCAACTCCAAAACTCACATGTTTACCTTGAGTATCTCTACTTGAGTCCTTTATTGCATACTTGATAACATATTTGTCATTTTTTCTACAGGCAGCTATGCATCACAATGGATAGAGCACTAGACTTGAAGTCAGAAAACCAGACTCAAATCTGTACTCATCCTTCAGCTCTTTTGCCACGGGCAAGTCACTGAGCCTCTGTCTACCCATTTCTTCATCTGTGAAATTAGGATAATAGTAGCGCAGCTCTGTGACTGTTGTGAGTGAAATGAAATAATATTTGTAAAGTACTTTGCATAGATTAAACACTATACTTATACTAACAATTATTGTTTTGAATTGGATTTCTCATAAGGATTTAAAAATAAACTCCAAAATAATACTCAGCATTTTTTTTCCTAAACCTAGACATCAACTCCCTTTAACCTTCCTTTTTGGATTGTGCAGGGGTTGCCACCATCTTTCCAGTCATATGATGCCCCCAATACTATAATATTCAAAGCCATTGTTCACTCTAATGTATATATCATCACAAATCAGTTGTCAAATCTGACTTAAGTTCCAAAATCTAGCTCACAAGTATCCCCTTGCTCTATATGCACAGCCATTACTTTAGTTCAAACCCTTATCGCTGCTGATTTAATTATTGTAATAGACTCCCAACTGGTTTCCATTCTTCAATTATTCTTACTCAATAATCTTTTTCCCATGAAGTAATTAAAGTGATTTTTTTGTCCTAAAATACACATCTGAACTGATCATCCCTTTGAAAAAGAAGCTTCAGTGGCTTACTCTTCTTTGTAGGATAAAATTAAAACTCCTTTTTTTTTTAAGTTGTAAGTATTTCATGCCACTCTTCCTCTTTGAAGTTGTGTGTCATTCTTCTTCATGCACTTTCCCTTCCATCAAAGCTGGCCTGTCTGTTGTTCCACGCACACAGGGATTCTGCTATCACTTGCCCAGCCTATTTTCCATGCTTGAACTGATCACCCTCTCTATTCATTTATACCTAAGGTAATTTTTAGGTTCCCTAAAATTCAATTTGGTTATCTCCTTATACAAAGCTCTATTTTCATCCCTATATTCATACCCACTTGCTACTACCCTGGTGCCCCAAAATTGTTTTGGAACTTATCTTTTTGACTTCTTACCTTATGCTTTTTGCGACCTATGCTGGAGGTGAGTGGTAAGTGGTATTTGTTAAGTGATGATGGCTGTGTTGTAATACACAGGACAAGTAGGGAACATGGGTCGGTTAAAATAAAGATTCTTTAACTGCATTCCTGGTTTGAATACAATTTTGAGAAAGAAAACCCTCCATTTAATATTAGCAACTTACCTGACTTTCCTTATTTCTTGGCATAACTGATAGAATGACACACATTCTTTTTGCCTACTTGATACTAAATAACTTACAATATGTTTATTTTACTTGTTTTGTCATTGGCTTCACAAAACAGATGATAATAAATTTTATCCTTATTTTCTGTTTTTTAAGGTTTAATTAATATAACATATATCTCCGTGGATCATTCCTAAATAGTTTTCTGAGGATTTTACCTAATACTTAAATGTTAGTGAAATGTACTTACGGGTACAATGATAGAGATGCCTTGGTAGAGTAAAGAGTTTAGTATTCCTACCTAAGACTTTGTTTTCTCTATCTCTCATTATATTATTGTCACTTTTTTGTTGTTGTTTTTCATCCTGCATAAGAAATCAGACATAAAAGGAAATGAATAATAAGATGATAGCTATTCCATAAACTGTCTATAAAATCTCATCATTGTCCTTTTAGTATAACCAAAAAAATTGTTTGTTATATTTTCACCCTTCATATTGGCAGAGAATATGTATTTCTTATTGCACTATTTACATCATCAGCATTTTATATTGTTAGAATCAAATAAGTAATAATCAAATAACTAATGAAGCTTATATTACAAAGAAGAGCATTTGATTTATTTATTCCAAATATAAATACGAATTACAACAGAATGGTTTTACACAGACATAAGGGAGGTGTTCCATAAAGTCTTTATTATTTCAATTTATCTGTGATTGTGTCAATACTTTTACTCTGTACGATGGTTTTGATCACAAACCATCTATCAATGCCTTCTTAACTTTTGTGACTGTTTTGTATAAAGAGGAGTGGGAGAAGAACAACAAGAACAAGGACAAGAAGAGCAACAAGAATAAGAAGAAAAACATGGAGAACAAAAACAAGAGGAGGAAGAGAAAATAGCAAAAGATGATGGTGATGGTGATGGTGATGGTGGTGATGATGATGGTGATGATGATGGTGATGATGATGATAGCGGTGGTGGTGATGGTGATGGTAGTGATGTTGATGGTGATGTTTATGGTGGTGGTGGTGGTGGTGTTGCCAATGATGATGATGATATGCTGATCATATAGCAGGAGTGAAGGATGACAAAAGAACGACCATGAAGAAGCTGAAGATAAATAGTAAGCAAGGTCAATGGCATAAGTTGATTATAGACCCTGGAACAGCTTCTGGAAGGACACTCCCAAGAATTACAAGAGTTATTCACACAACCTTAAATAGTGATCTTAATAATTAGAGGAAACATCTCTGTCTGTGATGTAGCATTCATTTCAGTATTTCACATGTTTGTTGATATCCCTTATTACCTTTATTGTGTGTGATTCTTTCACATATGTTAGTACAATAGTACAATGAAAAGAATGGAATCAGAATCAGATTGTGGTTGTTGAGTCATTCAGTCACGTCCAACTCTTCATGACCCCATGGACCATACTGTCTGTGAGGTTTTCTTTGCAAAGATACTGGAATAATTTGCTATTTCCTTCTCCAGTGGATGAAGGGAAACAGATGTCATGATAAAGAGAAAGTGAGGCACAGAGTTTTGAGCATGATCAATTTATTAGCAAGATTTGCCGTTTCCAATAAATGGGATTCTACTTTCCTCAGTGGACAGGAAATGCATTGACAGGCAAAGCAACTCTTTTTATGGAATTTGCATAGTTATTATTTTTAAACAGAGATGTCTCACTTCTGATTGGTTGGTGCCCACTTACATCATTTCTTCACTAGGTGGTCTAATATCCCCTGAATAATATCCTCTGAAAACTCTTGAGGTAGGCAAACATCCTATGACAACAATGACTGATATCCCTTGGAATATACGATGGTTAGCCATTTCTGGTGGCTGAGAATAGGGTGGAGACATGTGGTCTATATGTTATTTCTTCGGGATGGCTTAAGAAGAACTTTTGTGGTTAGAAAAATACTGAGAAAAATGGAACCACAAATGATGCACTTGGAGTAGTTCATGATTCTCTACCAGTGGATTAGTTTATAATAGCCAACTGATGTTATAATCTCAAAGTAAAGGCAAATATTTACAAAGCATCAAATAGTTATTTTCAATTTCTATTTGTTTACTGACTCAATCCCTTCTTTTGTAGCTACATTCTAGAGTAGAAGAAGAAGAAGAAGAAGTAGAGTAGTCTATGGTAAAAATGCCTTGAAGAGATCTGTGCAATACAAGGCCTGAAACTTAAGAAACATTATGAAACTGAATGCAATCTGAACCAAATTAAAATGGGTCATACAAAATAAAACATAAGTGGCCTTGCATTTTAAAACTAATTCAAAAGGAAGCCTACAGGAATTCATAACTACAGTTTAGGGGCCCTCATTTCTATGATTGTTTGATACCATTGTTTTTGAAGTATCATAAATCAGTTGTCTTTTTAAAATTAGTTACTTATTAACATCATTTGGAGCAGAATTCATGAGGCATTATCATTTTTCTAAATGTTAAATATTGAAATATATCTGTCAAGCACTAGATTATGTCGGTGATTACCTTAGTTCACCACTCCATTTATTTCAGAAGTATGAGATGTCATTGTTAGAATGTAACTTTGCATTTTGATACAACAGAGAAAGAGTTTACATAATGCTTAAAATGTGAGAGAAAGAAAGAATGACCTTTGAATAAAACAATTTCAAGAGCATGTAGGAGAGACATTGAGATTTTTAATTCAATAGGAATTATTGTTCAATGATCTCATTTGTGTGTGATTCTTTTTGACTCCATTTGTAGATTTTCTTAGCAAACGTACTGGACTAGTTTGCAATTTCTTTCTCTACTTCATTGTACAGATGAAGGAACTGAGGGAAAAAGGTTAGGGGACTTACCCAGAGTCAGACAACTAGTAAGCATCTGAGGCTAGATTTGAACTCAGGTCCCGTTGACTCCAGGCCTGGCACTCTATCCACTGTGCCACCTAGCTACCTTTCGATAGGAATGATGAGACAAATTAAAAGGCAACAAAGGACTATAAGATTATCTATTCTTTGTCCCTCCACATTTAGGTAGTAACTTTTTCAGCGCAACAATAACATCTTTGTTCCTTAGAGTATATATTAGAGGGTTAAACATAGGAGTCAAAATTGTATAGAAGAGAGAGAAGATTTTTTCATTTTTTACAGAGTGGCTAGACTTAGGCTGTAAATATGTAATAATTATAGACCCAAAGAATAATCCAACAACCATGACATGAGAAGAACATGTAGAGAAGGCTTTGTACCTTCCTGTGATTGATGGGAGCTTTAGGATGACAGGCATGATTTTTATGTAAGACCAGAGTATCAGCAGAAACGGAATCATGACAAACAGCATAGCACTGGCATAGATAGAAAGTTCATTGACAAAGGTATCCTTACAGGCCACCCTCAGTAATGGACGGGGATCACAGAAAACATGGTCGAGTTTGTTAGAACCATAGAATGGTAAAGAGAAAATCTGGTATGTCTGTGCTATCTGGACTGGGATCCCAATGCTCCAGGAGCCAGCCACTAACTGGACACATAAGTTATGGTTCATGATTAGTGGGTAATAAAGAGGCTTACAAATGGCCACATAATGGTCATATGCCATTACACCAAGGAGTAAGCATTCAGGGTTTCCCAGGATAAGGAAAAATCCAAGTTGTATAGCACAAGTCACAAAAGATATATTTCTCTTCTTTGTCCAAATATTTATCAGCATTCTGGGTAGGGTGACTGATGTATAACATATTTCTAAGAAAGAAAAGTTTCCAAGAAAAAAATACATGGGGGTTTGAAGGGCTGGATCCACTTTAGTTATAACAATGATGAGACCATTTCCTATCAGAATACTCAAGTAGATGACCAAAAATATTCCAAACAGAAACCCTTGGAGCTTGGGCTGGTCAGAAAATCCAAGCAGAATGAACTCCACCACAACAGTGAGATTTTCTGCTGCCATTTTTTTCTTGTATATTCTATCTGTGGAAATTGTGAACTAAGGATGGGGAAGTCACTTCTCCTTCCTGATATTTAATTTTCTTACCTGTAGAGTATGAGATTTGGAAGACATTATTTTTTTTTATTTTAACTATTGCTATGCCATTTAAAATTGCGTCTTCAGAGTTTCAATGCACATTTATTTAATGTCTGTTTTTTAATCCAACACAAAAATGTCATGTTCCTATGGCAAGTCAAAAATTACTGCCAATTCTATTATTAAAGATGTATTCTATCATCAGTTTTGTCTCAGATATAGGAATCTGTGATTTTCCAATATTTGGATTGTGTGCGGAACTAAGATTTTTGCTCTAGTTTAAAATTGATGTTAAATATTTAAAAAATAAAATTATTACCACATGACACAATTTTGCTTTATATCAAGTAATCACAGGATTTCAAACAAGAAAATCTTTAGGGAAAAGTTCAACTTAGACTAAAAGATATTAAATGATTCTCTACCTTATCAACTAAAATATAAAATTCCTTAGGATCTGTTCCAACAGCATGGAAGCTTTTGAGATTTAGGTCCACTTATATTTAACTGCTTATGGAAGGGAAAAAAAGCAAAGAAATAAAATTACTTTTCTCAATCATTTTTGACCTTAAAAATTATCTGCTTTTGTTATGGGAAAAAATTTATTTATGAATTACTGTCAAACTGTTTTTCAGCTCATCAAAATTCCATACATTTTTTATAATACAATTTAGATGCTATTTCCATTACTTGACATGTTTGTCTACCTTGCCATATGTAAGTGTGTAATTTGTGTATAATAGGGGATAAATCAGTATTTCTTTATAATAATTAGGTGAATCAAATTGACTCAATGGCATATCTTAAATACTTAAGGACATGGTTTTTTAATCACAATATCTCCCTGATTAACTAATGTTTGAAAATCTGACATTAGCTATTAATTAGTGGATAATTAGGGTGATAGAAGGGATGGCAGATTAGGGGAAGGAGTATTGAGAATGCGTGACTTTTTGGGGTGGAGGAAAGGGAGAGATAGGGAAAAAAATTGGACTTAAAAATATTGTAGAAGTGAATGTTGAAAATAAATTAATTAAAATAAAAATTGTGCGTAATTAAATTTATTCTTTTAATGCATTTTAGAAGTGGTAACACATTAAGCAATAGTCAATGATAATTCTTTTATTTCCAGATCATTTGTAGTGTAAGAGCTCCGTGAGAGAATGTAATATATAAGTATCTTAATTATAACAGAAGGCAAAGCTAGATTGTTCAGTGGATAAAGCGTAGGGAGTCAAGAAGACTCATCCTCCTTCTGAGTACAAATCTGGACTTAAATATTAATTATTTGCTTGACTCAGGGCAAATCACTTAACCCTGTTTGCCTTAGTTTCCTCATCTATAAAATGAGCTGGAGAAGGATATAACAAAGCGCTCCAATATCTTCACCAATAAAACCCCACATAAGGTCATGAAGAGTTGGAGATGACTGCAAAATGACTGAATAGTCACAAAACGACAAAAGGTAACAGAGAGGGCCAGAACTAGGTCACTAGGCAAAGGAAGCCAGACCTTAGGGAATCTCTCCTGACAGAGGCATTGTACACTCAGGAAGGCAACATGTTGCTGTACTAGATTTAGAATCACAGACCCTGGAATCAGTTTCTGATTCAGGAACTGGCTATCTACATGACCTTAAGAAATCTGTTCCTCCTTTGAAATGAGATAGCTGCATAGGATAATATTAAAGGTTTACACTCTCAATCTATTGTGTTGTGTTTTTTTTACTGAGTAACAAGGGAACAGTAAATCTTTTGTTGTTTTTACTCAATTGCTTCAATCGTGTCTGACTCTTTGTGACACCATTTGGGTGTTTTCTTGGCAAAGATATTGGAGTAGTTTGCTATTTCCTTCTGCAGCCAATTTTACAGATAAGGGAAGTGAGGCAAACAAGGTTAAGTGACTTGCCCAGGGTCACACAGTTAGAAAGTGTCTTAGGCCAGATTTGAACCTAGGATCTTCCTGACTCCTGCCAAAGGGCTCTATCCATTCCATTATCTAGCTTCCTCAGGAAGTCTTCGGAGTATAGGAATGGGATAAAAGGAGATGATTTAAAGAATGAAATATAAAGGAAGTAGAAATGATTATGTCCAAACTGCAATTTCTAAAACTCTACCTTTGCTCCCAAGAATCTCTGTTTCCATTCAGGACTGCTTATACTCCATGACTCCAGAATTTCCACCCTCTTTGCAGCCACTGCTCACTCTTTCCTTTCCCCTCATCCACATCTTGCATTTCTTGGACTCTTGTAAGACACAGTGCAGGGCCATTTTTTGGTGGCAGCACCAAATATCCAGTTCCAGTCCTGGCTTTTTCATAAGTGAGTTATGAGACTATGGGCAAAACAATTACCAAGCTTTAGCCTTAGTTTCTGCAGAACTAAAATGATTATAATAATATCACCCAGAAGGATTAGAAAGATCAAATTAGATCTGGGTGCACTGTAATCCTAATATTAAGTAGACTTATTATGTGTCAGCTAAAATACATTTTATATCATTTCAGGCTACTTTAATATAATTGTAGCTTCTCAGGAGAGATATTACCAGTATATGCATTCATTATCAGACCACATCTCAAATATTACAATCCTATCTGGGCATGGCATTTTAAGAAAGACATTCATAAACTGTAGGTAGCCCAGAAAGCAAACAAGAAGGAAAAAGGCCTAGAGTCCATCTAAGATGAGGACTGAAGAAAGTGTTATTTAATTTGGAGAAAGGAAGATTCAGAGTGACAGGATAAGATCATTCTGTTCAAGTATTTGAAGGGCTAAGATGTGGAGCAGAGATTAGCTTTTTCTATTTAGCCCCAGAGACCACAACTTGGAATAGGAGCAATGGGTGCATATAATTAAATGAATAAATGAATGAATGAATGAATGTAGATTGAATAACTGAAAAATAAAATAAATTGAAAGGAAAAATGATCATACAACTTTTCAACAATTGAAGCTTATTAAAGGTGGAATTTGATGTCTGAAAAGGTTATAGGTTCCCAGTCCTTGAGAACCTTCAAGCAGAGGCAGGATGACTACTGTTGGGGGGCCTTGATGAGAATTCCATTCATGCACTGCTTGAACTAGATATCCACTGAGGAACCTACCAACTCAAATTTTACACAAACCTCTTTGTAAACCTCAAAGGACATAAATGTTAGCTAAAACAAAGAAGTGGACACAATTAGGAATATGGAATTTTAGACAGTGGCATGATCATAATAATGGGTCAGTGACCTAGATAACTTTAATAACATGAATATAATTTAGGTTATTTCTCTATAGAAAATATACAATAATGTACTTAATGACTACTTCCCACTAAATGAAACATTACATGTAGAAGCTCTGTGGAACATGTTAAAAAGGAAAATTATGATAATGATCATACAAAACTTGCATATCCTTATTACAGACCAGTATAAACCTTAAAGTAGTATATAAATGTTTAATAATAATACTAATTTAAAAATCATCTCAAGTACTACCTATCTCAACCTTAAATAAATTCTTCCTCTTTTCTGACCTATGATTTTCATCTTTCTTACCTGTAAAAGAAGGGATAAGACTATATTTTTCTAAAGTCCTTTAAATATTCGACATCCTATTATTCTGATAAACGCATAATATTCAAGCATTTGTCATCATTATGACTGATTAAATCCACAGAAGCAAGTTGCCAGGCAATAAATAAAAGATCATCATATCATGCTTTTCATAACACCTGGGGATTTTTCAGAATTTATCTTATTTCTGTTGTCCTGATGGGCAGAAGCATTCCTATGGGATCCTTACCAATCCTTTCCTCAGTAATTTTTTAAAACCTTAAATGGTAAGGATAGCTGCAGAAACAATGGGAACTAGACCAGTAAGCAGAATTAATTCCATAATAAAGCCTATAAATAAAGCTTTAGTTTTTATTTTCATTTTTTCCCCCTTCTATCAATGTCAAATCTGAGTGAGGATCCTGGGACTTGACTTCTGTTTTATGTGGCCACAGCCAGTTGAAATAGTAATTATTGGATTTTTTTCCCCACAGGGGCCCTAAAAGCCACCTAGAAAAGAACTGGCGCTTTCATGTCCTTAACAAGGAATTGATAAGATTGAAGAAGACATTATGCCTGGCAGTCCAGAATGCATGAAGAATGTTAACGTTATTCAGTGATTTTTCAAGTGGCAGAATTTCTATAGGTTCAGGAACACAAATGGGGTTAGAGCAATATCTGTCCCTCATGTCTGTCAATTATTGTTTAAGACCTGTTGAATGGCTTGTAGTTATTAAGTACAACTTTTACTTGACTAATAACACAGCCACTTTTCTGCATTGTCATTGCAGTTTATGTCTTCAAAGTATTTTAGTCTTTAATTTGTTTAATTTACTAACGATACAAAACTAAAAATTCCATCTGCCAGATTGCTATGGCTGTTTCTTCTCATGCACTGGAGATCCCAATTATAATTGTAGGAATTTGTAAGTAAGGGACCTTGGATTTAGAGTTTGCTGGGAGTTTAGAGAATGTCCAGTCCAAAATATTAATAGAATTAGGGAAATAGAAGCTAAGATGAGAAAACAGTTACCTTTTTCAAATGGAATGAAGTCATACTCTGCATCTTCTTTCTATGATGAATATATTGGAATTATAGAGAGATACAGAGATAGAGGATGTAGATATATAAAAATAGATATGATTTTTCAATTTATCCCATTCATCTCCCAAACAAAAAATGTCATGAGAAAGAATTCAGTTGTCAACCACTTTTTAATTCTTGTTTTCAAAGCATTTGGAGGAGCTCCTTAAATAGATTGCTTTCCTGCCCTGTTCTGCTCTGTGGGAGCATCTTTTCTTCCAGTTTATTTTTCATTTTTTAATGAGATCTTCAGAAACCAAGTCCAGTGAGCTCTGTACCAATTAATGAGCTAATGTATAGAGCTCTC